AGATACAGATATATATATATAGAGAGAGAGAGAGAGATACAGATATATATATATATATATATATATATATATATATATATATATATATATGAGAGAGAGAGAGAGATAAATGACTGTCTTCTTCACACAAGTATAAACAATTTCAGTAACTTATTACTTTCTCTTAAAAATGCAATAAATGATCTTTTCTTCTCATCTCTACTAAGTTATACCAGGGATAATAAATCTAATCTGTTCTTGATCAAATAAGCCAACTTTATATCCTCTTCTTTTTTCTTTTGACAATTTTAATCTTTAATCCTGTCAAATAATGCCACCCATCTCGATTCCTTTTTCATTTTTTTTTTCTTTGCCCCTTCTCAGAAAACCCTTCAAAGTTTTAACCCAGTCTATCCACAGAAGAGGCAGATGTCCTTATAAGTTTGTCTCTACAATTACCAAGAAGACAATATGGGTATGTTTGTGGGCTCGCCAGGCTGAGCCCGGCTCAGAGGCGATCCTGTGAACTTGTTTTCTGGGGAGTAGAAATTGCCACGTCCAACGTGGCCCTTTGCCTCTTCCGTGAATCTCCTTAGGTAAGAAAGAACGTGAGCTTCCTTCCCAATTTTACCTGAAAGCAGCAGGAGAAGAAAAACCCACATCAGATCCACAGCTGTGGCATCCAATACCCAAGATCAACCTGACCTAGAAGCTTGAAGCCTCTTCGCTGTGGCTGTGGAATAATAGGCCTGTATTTTAGCTTCAACACAAAGCTGATCCGTGTGGGTGGACGTTTTAAAAGCGCGGCCATCTCCAAGATCCCTAGAGTTGGCAGAGATCTCAGTATTCAGGGTGTGTGTGTGCGTGCGTGCGTTTGTGTGTAAAGAGAGCCTTGCCTCTTTTCAATCAAGCAGTTCCTTTTTTTAAAAAAATAAAAAATCTTTCTCCAGATGTGGGAAGATTGCAGGGCGAAGGCATTCTTGCAGAAGAGCCAAAATCTCTGCATTTTAAAAAAAAAAAAAAAATCTAGCAAGTCAGCAAAAAGGCTTTCTCCTGTGCATTGGAGGTTTTAATATGGAGGAGAGGCTTTTTTCTTTGTCTTTCTTTCCTTTTTTCTTTTCTTTCTTTTTTCTTTTTCTCCTCCCACCTTGCCTGCAACCTAACCTGTGACATACACTGGGAGCCAAGCTTCCCCGTTGAAGCCTGCCCGTTGTATGTCCTTCACCTGCAATGGATTTCCTTTCCTCCCGTGGTTTCCGATTTCCATATGTTCAAGAGTACAGAGAAAAGCAACAAAGATGATTAGGGGACTGGAGGCTAAAGCATATAAGGAACGGTTGTTAGAATTGGGTATGTCTAGTTTAACGAAGAGAAGGACAAGGGGGGACATGATAGCAGTATTCCAGTATCTCAGGGGCTGCCATAAAGAAGAGGGAATCAAGCTATTTTCCAAAGCACCTGAAGGCAGGACAAGAAGCAACGGGTGGAAACTAATCAAGGAGAGAAGCAACCTAGAACTAGGGAGAAACTTCCTGACAGTGAGAACAATTAATCAGTGGAACAACCTGCCTCCAGAAGCAATAAATGCTCCAACACTGGGAAGTTTTTAAGAAGAGACTGGACAGCCATTTGTCCGAAATGGTGTAGGGTTTCCTGCCTGAGCAGGGGGTTGGACTAGATGACCTCCAAGGTCCCTTCCAACTTTACTATTATTATTATTATTATTATTATTATTATTATTATTATTATTACTATTATCTGCTGCCACCTGATGTTCATCAGGACCCTAGGAGGGAAGCTCAGACAACCTAAATGGCCTCCGTTTCGTCCCTGTGGAAGCCTTGGCTCGTGTGGCGTCTCAGCATCTTCCCCGCACCTAGCTTATTAATTACTGACATTTATTGGTAATTGAATTGAGCATTAAAGGCTAATGAACGGTGTCTGGTCACCTTTGCAGGGAATCCCTTTGCAGCTCCTGTGGCTCCCCAAGCCATCTTTTTCTTCCCTTCTTTTTTTTCCCGAAGGGAAAACACTCTATTTTGGCATCGAGGTCAGCCAGGATCGACCCATAACTCTCCGTGCCCATGATTAGCAGCTGGGCCTACAGCTTGACAATAATCACCCTTGTCCTTCTCAGTTACAGGTGCTTGGGGCTGATCCTGTTCCTCTCCTCCCTCTTGCTTTTGTGTGTGTGTGGTGCCCTACACAGGTGATTAGCGCCTGGTAATTGAGCTGGTTGTAAAAAAAAAAAAAAAAGATAATTAATTGGCATTTCACTCATTCAGACTGCCCCATCTTCCATCATTAGCCAGCTAGTTATCCCGCTCCTGGCTGCTGTGTTCTTCCCCAAGGTGACGAGATGATCTTTATCTTGCTGATCAAGAAAACACCGGCCTTCGTAATTAAAAGAGACACCGAGGGAGAATTTGAGGGGTGACACCCGAGGGGCAGGATTCTCTACGCTTGGTTGGATCCCCCCCCCCCCAGGGCCTGGGCTGGTATTTTAAAAAGCACTACAGGTAGTCCTCAACTTAGGACCACAACTGAGCCCCAAATTTTGGGTGTTAAAAAGTGTTTTTTTTTCCGGTGAGACTGGTCTACCCCGAATTATGGGACGGAGAGCACTGCTTACGCTGTGGCCTTTCAGCCCCAATCTAGGGGCCTTCGCAGGAGTTCGCTCCTGCGACAAGATGATTTGTGTGTCAAATTTAAATTTACCGACAAAGAATTAGACTAGTTTTGGTGTTAAGGGAGACATTCGTTAAGTGAGTTTTGTTACTAACTCGTTAAGTGAGTTTTGTTACTAACTTAGCAACTTAAGAACAAGAAAGCTGCTTGTTCTTAAGTTGTTAAGAACAACAATGATCGTTAAGCGAATCCCACTGACTTTGTTTGTCAGAAGGTCACAAAAGGGGATCACGTGATTCCAGGAACACAGCCACGATCATCAATATGAACCAGTTGCCTGTCATCTGGATTTTGACCCCATGATCTTGGGGACGCTGCCAAGGTCGTAATTGTGGGAAACGGTCACAAGTCCCTATTTTCCATAACTTTGAACAGGGTTACCAAATGGACTGCTGTAAGCCGAGGACCACCTCTATTACTACCCGTTGTACAGGACAGCCGTAAACGTGCTTTGGCTCCCCTTGGAAAGGTTGGGGGGGGGGGAAAGCCCGTAGCAGCAACTAGGAAAGAAATCTCAAATTCTGCCATTTTGAGGTTGGACCTTGGGGGCGGTGGGCTGAGTGGCCGGGAGAAGTTCAGCTGAGCTGTCCATCCGAGGTCACCAACACCGCGGAAGCTCCCTTGGGCCGACAGACGCTTTCCGTGCCCCACAGCGCACCGGGCAGGTCAGCCCTCGGCAGCTGCAACGTCTTTATTGAAAACTATTAGTGCATTAAGAGATTGGAAATGATGCTGTAAGCAATCTGCTTCCCTTTCAAGCAGCGAAAGCTAATGAAGTGTGTGTGTGTGTCTGTGTGTCTGTGTGTGTGTGTGTGAAGAACTGATGTCCTTGTAAAAGGCGCAAGGCTAACTTGCAAAGCGGAAGGCCATTTTCATGATCAGACAGAAAGAGACGCAGCTCTGAGCAAAAACAATTGTCTTTGTTTTGCAAGCGGCCCTTGACGTAACCACCCTTCCTTTAGTGACCGTTCAAAGTTACAACGGCACTAAAAAAAGTGTGACCTGTGACCATTTTCCAGGGGCCTTGGAGGAAGAACTCAAACCTTGCCTTTGTATTTTGGGCTCCAGTGGGAAAGAGCGTTTGCTTTAGGCCTCCTTACAAAGAAAGCGAATATGATGATATGGAATGTGGAAGGGCCACTGAACCAAACAAGGCGAGAGAGAGACACCACTTTTAACCTCGGATTATTCTTTGAGACGCCACCTTTAACCGCAGATCATTCTTTATCTCCTAGAAGGAAGCCATGCCTTCGGTTTCCCCCATCTGCAAAGGAGCAAGCGTGGCCGGGCCACTTTCAGAAACATCCCCCTTGCCTTTCTCCTGGTCGATCCGGACCCTGATCCACAGACTGGTGAACTGTCCGAAGTAAGAAAGACCAAATGTTTGGGGTGGGAGACGACAGGGCTGTTTCCCCTTCTCTCGCACCCCTGAATGCCCCCCAAGATTGCCTCCTTGGGTGGGAGAAGCCTTTATTCACCCCTTCTCTCCTCCTGGTTACGTCTCTACCAGGATCCTCTCCAAGTTGTGACAGGAGGCTCTGATGGCTTAGCTAGGCCCCCCAACCCAACATCCTCAAATGTCTCAATGGGGCCATGTTTCTGGCACCTGCCCTGAGTCCTCCGGCCTCACGAAACAAAAAAAGAAACGAAAATCCAGTGTTTTGCTCCATATGACGTGGATTGGCCGAGGTATCATTTTCTCTAGAATATCTGAGATTATCAGAGAAGAGATGATAAGACGAACAATTAAGGGAACTGGGTGTGTTTAGCCTAATGAAGAGAAGGCTCAGGGGAGACTTGACAACTCTCTTCCAGTACCTGAGGGACAGCCACAGAGAAGAGGGGGTTGATTTATTCCCCAAAGCACCTGAGGGCAGGACAAGAAGTAATAGATGGAAGATCATTCAAGGGAGAGCCATCCTAGAACTGAGGAGGAATTTCCCGACAGTGGGAACAATTAATGGAACAGCTTGCCTCCCAGAGTTGTGGGTGCTCCATCACTGGAGGCGATTTCAAAAAATAGACCGGGCCACCATATGTCTGGGATGGTATAAGGTCTTCTGTCTTGGGCAAGGGGGGGGGGGGAGTTGGACTAGAAGACCTCCAAGGTCCCTCCCAGCCTTGGGATTATACAGATCTCCAGAACTAATCAATCAGTTAATTGATGTTCTCTCTTTTTTTAAAAAAACTGCATTGTATTCCAGTACCTCTTTAATACTGATCTGCTGTTTTTCTTCCTTGCCACTCCCATCCCTACAGAATGAAGATGAAAAGAAAAGGATCTCCACGGAGACAATGGAAGCTTCCACCATGCTTATGGCCAGACGTAGCAGGTATGTTCAATCTTACCTCTTTCTTAAAAATTGGAGTCGACCCTGCTTTGAGGCAAACGGACTCGGGCGGGAAGGAGGTGGAAAGGGCTGGAACATGAAACCATTGCACCGAGTAGGACCAAAACATACCTTTATTTATTTCTAAAACTTAAGTTACTTGCAGTTTGTTTTTAATCATTTTTTTTATGTTGGGTGAGTCATGCCGTGTTTATTGGTTTTCTGCAATAAGAGTGGCTTTTATCAATGTGACTTCTCACAAAGGTCAAGTAGGATTCTTGCGAAGCGCATTTGTGACATTTCTTCATCTCTATAATCTCTCTCCCTCTCTCCTTTCTACATTTTTTTTTTTTTTTGTGGACAAGCTAGTAGTCACTCCATAATATTTATTATTAAATACGGGGAATGCTTTTGTTAACATTTTTCACCTGAAATCTCAGGTTTTACGCACAAAGCGCAACCTTGACTTGTTCTTCCCCGTGGAACCTTTTGTGCTCTTCATCCTGGGAACAGTGAAATCTAGAGGAATTGTCTGGGGGAAAGGGTGGAAAAACACGAGGATAGCAAGACAGACTCACTTAATTCTGGTTCTCAACAAGCAAACATGTGGCACGAGGCAGTTGGCAGCAGCATAAACAACTTCTGGAGTGGAGACCCCTTTGCAGAAGTGGCACACTCAGATCCTGGACCCACCTAGGATCTTCTCCACGACAGTCAGAATTCTTTCACTAACCTGAGATATCTGTGCATTTAACAGAGGAACCTGGCCTATTCCAGAACAGAATGATCTATTTTGTTTGGCTGCAGAATTTCAGAGAAACAGCTCTCCCATCTTAATAATTCAAAATGTCCAGGATGGAACTCGGGACATTTGCTGACACGGTGACATTGACTCAAAGCCCAACTGTAGACCATGGGCTCAAAACCTTTTGTTGGACAAGCCTCTGTAAACCCACCCATCTGCTAGGGGCTCAAAGAACCAGGAATACTTGCTGAGTTCAAAGCACGGAAAAGTTTACTATTCTACCTATGCTACCACAAGGATCTGATCAACTGATGGTCAAAGCCAAATTGATGCTAGATAAGGATCAACAGAATTCACAAAGGTCTCTTGTGGCTACACAGTTATTCCAAACTGATGACACGTTTAACCCTGCCTTCCAGCTCGGCCTGCTCGTCTCCCACACCCGTGATTCTCAACCTTTTCTTTACCACAGACCCCTTTTGTGACCACGGCCATGGAGTGCCAAGACTGAGGATTGAAATCATAACATTTCTTCAAGCTTCCACAAACCCTCCCCCCCCGTGATGATATCACAGACCCCCCCCCAGGGATCCATGGACCACAGGTTGAGAACAGCTGTCCCTCGCCGCCCGTACAAACTCGTTTTCCGAATTTCTGCCCGTTTGTTCATTTTTGGATTGTGAGCGCGACACAGTGGACGATCCTCCTCTTTCGTTTCCAGCCTCGCGCTTAGAGACATCGCAAAGAAGCCTCGCCTCCTCCTCCACCTCCTGCAGGTTAATCCTGTAAACCAGTGGTTCTCAAACTTTTTAATGCCGTGACCCCCAACCAGTCGTAAGTCGAGGACTACTCAACCGGTCGTAAGTCGAGGACTACTCAACTGGTGCAGCACCATTTGCAGAATGGGACTTTTGGCAGGCTCAGCAGGGCAGAGACAGCCTGGACAATTCCTATTGGCTTTGGAAAGCCAATAGAATTAGACTCTATTCAAGCGAGTCTATTCTATTGGCTTTCAAAAGCCAATAGAATAAAAGGGAGGAGCACAGCTAAGGAAAAGGGGGGGAAAAATGGCGGACTGCGTTGTTTGGTGACCCCCGTGAAATGGTCGTTCGACCCCAAATGGGGTCCCGACCCGCAGGTGGAGAACCACTGCTGTAAACGGAGGGCGATTCCTTCCCTGATCACACGAAGACGCCTTCTGCCAGGGGTGCCTTTGCCGCAGGTTGGATCCTCTTGAGAGACCTTGGGCTGGAGAGGCCTCCCCCTACCCGTCTCCCCTCCAGCCCTGTCGCACACTGCCACGAGCATCTAACTCAGTGGTTCTCAACCTGTGGGTCGGGACCCCATTTGGGGTCGAATGACCATTTCACGGGGGTCGCCAAACCATGCTGTCCGCCATTTTTTTCCCTTTTCCCTAGCTGTCCTACTCCCTCTTATTGGTGGCCACACCCACTTGGGGGTCACCACAACATGGGGAACTGTATTATGGGGTCACGGCATTAGAAAGGTTGAGAATCACTGATCTAACTGAACTCGGGAGAGAGAAGCCAGCATTCCCGCCAGCGGCCTTGTTTTTGATCCTGATCCCCGCAGGAATACCGGCTCACTGCCTTACAGCCACGCCAGCAGATATGGAGACCAATTGGTTTGGAGGGACAAGTTAACAGCAGGAGGATTAGTCATTACAGCTCTTTTCAAGAGGAAGCGAATGAGTGGCTTTTTGTGGCTCCAATTAGGTGCCTGCTGGAAGAGAGAGAAGAAAACCACCAGGGAGAACTAATTGGTTTTTCATCGGAGTGGCAGAAGCTGTGGAGAGAGATCTCACCTCGGCACAAGCGACTCTAGCGGTTTGGGCTCGGGCGAGTCGGGCGGAAGAGAGCCCTCGCCCCCTCCGCTGGGATAAAGGAGAAGAGTGGTTTGTTTATTTATTCATTTAGTGTACGGCTTATCGTCCGTGGACTCGCCATATAAATTAAGATTTCAGCTAGGGGAGTAGAACCCGACAAAATACAAATGGCCAGGACTGGCGGCCAGACTATAGACCAGGGCAGTGGTGGGATTCAAATAGGTGAACAACCGGTTCTCTCCGTGAATGCCACTTCTGGAAATCCATTCTGGGCCTGGGGCAACAAAAATGTAGCTACCGAAGTGGTGCGAATCGGCTGAATCCCACCACTTTGAACCAGGGGTCTTCCAACTTGGCCCCTTTTAATGACTTGTGGACTTCAACTCCCAGAATTCCTCAGCCAGTAGTCTGGAAATTCCACTGTCAACCTCCTAAACCAGTGTTTCTCAACCTTGACCATTTTAAGGCATGTGGACTTCAACTCCCAGAATTCCACAGCCAGCATTGCTGGCTGTGGAATTCTGGGAGTTGAAGTCCACATGCCTTAAAATGGTCAAGGTTGAGAAACACTGTTGACCTAAACCTCTTGATCAGAGTGAAACTCCATAGTTGACTCCGAAGGTTAGAGCAAGTTACAAAGAACCTTCGGAGTAAGTTACAAAGTAATCTGGTTTCGTTTATTGGCTCATATTTATTTTATGGCAAAACGCTAATTATTATTATTCAATCCCATCCTACAAGCAGGGCAGCCCAGGAGCAGATTTAAAACAAACAAACACAAAGCAACAAAGGATCTGAAATCAAAGCTAGAAACCAATAAAATACAGGCCTTATCTCCTCTCTGCACTTTCCCCTCACTCCCAAAATTGTGACGGATGATTTACGGTCTCCCTCAGCTCCAGGTTCTCTGCCCTCCCGAATGCAAACCAACGGAACATCAAACAACTTCTCACATTCTGGTTGTGTTCCACATAGCCAGGGGGGAAACAACAACCACAGATTGTAGACTAGCGCATTTCGGTTCAGCGTTCCAGCCAGCCGGTGTGTGCCCTTTTCCAAGATTCTTGAGTCCCGTTTCCCCTCCTGGTTTTCCATTTGCTTTCCACTCCAATTAACCTTTGCTATTCTTTGGCTTCTGAGCCCTGGAATTTCTGAGGTTTCTTGTTATTTATTTCCCACCCACCCCAAAAAATCTGTTCTTCTACAACTGTTGCGTTCCACCAAGTCTTCCTTTACTCTTTGGGTTGGGGCCTGTTTTGAATATAGCTTTTTTTTGGCCCTCCCCAGCAGAAAGAGGGAATGTCCAAACACAGGTCGTCCTCGCCTTAACGGCCGCAATTGGACCCCACGTTTCTGTTCAGTGAGCTTTGTCCCATTTTACGACCTTTCCTGCCGCTGTGCTGAAATGAATCATTCCAGTTGTCAAGTTAGTCAGGGATCGCGTGACCCCCGGGGACACTGCGACCTTGTAAATACGAGCCAGTTGCCAAGCATCTAAAATTTGATCACCTAACCACGGGGGACGCCGTAATGGTCGTAAGTGTGAAAAAACGGTCGTAAGTCAATTTTTTCAGTGTTGTAACTTCAAACAGTCACTAAATGATCTGTTGTAAGTCGAGGACAAAAAAATGGCACAATTCAATTTCAATTGATAGGATCTTTGCTCCTTGCCCTAAGCCATAATTTCTTAGCTATGGTCTGTAAAAGAAGCAAACTATTGCTTGGTTCAGGATCCTGGGTGGATTAAGCCACTTCTGGCTTACAACCTTCCTGGTTGTTTGTATTTGACACATGCATTCCTTGCACAGGCTTTTCCTGAGAGAAAACACAGAGTTGTGTTTTGAAGGGCGGAGGGACCCCTGGAATAAATTGCCCTCCTGCTTGCTAATATATTAAACGAACTATGAGGCGTAAGCCCCCATTTGAGCCTTTAAATCTGCTTAGTTGAGGTAATGCTCAACAGCTGGGGAAGAAATGGAGAAGGGCTTACAGCAGAGGAAATGACAAAATCCGTGCGCTCCGGACTATAACAGAGAGGAAGAAACCAAGTTGCAATGGAAACTGGCCAAGAAGATAAAAATCGCTGGAAGAGTGATCACCGGCTTTAAAAAAAAAAAAAAAATTACATGTAGATTATCCCATAATGGTTTAAAAGCCTAAAATGCACACACAAACACAGGTGGGAAAGATGAATAGGGAGAGTCTAAATAAAGGAGAAAAAGCAGAAATGTCAATAGCAGCAGGAATGCTATTTAAACATTATTAGTATTATTTTGAGAAAAAAAAGGAATGTCAAACATTAAGAAGTTTAGACAGGCTTTGAGTTAACTTTTTTTCTCTCGAGAGCTGGCTCCGATTTTATTTGATCTCTTTGGATGCTCTTGGGGGGCCCGACAGGTGTAGGGGGCTCAC